CTCTCTCCCAACCTTTATTCCCTCGGATCTGGCCCCAGAGGTGCTGTTCCCTCTCTCCTGGCCTTTATTCCCAGGGATCTGTTCCCTCTCTCCCGGCCTTTATTCCCAGGGATCTGTTCCCCCTCTCCTGGCCTTTATTCCCAGGGGATCTGGCCCCAGAGGTGCTGTTCCCTCTCTCCTGGCCTTTATTCCCTGGAGATCTGGCCTGGATGTGCTGTCCCCTCTCTCCTGGCCTTTATTCCCTGGGGATCTGTTCCCTCTCTCCCAGCCTTTATTCCTTGGGATCTGGCCCCGGAGGTGCTGTTCCCTCTCTCCCAGCCTTTATTCCTTGGGATCTGGCCCCAGAGGTGCTGTTCCCTCTTTCCCAGCCTTTATTCCCAGGGATCTGGCCAAAGAGGTGCTGTTCCCTCTCTCCCAGCCTTTATTCCTTGGGATCTGGTCCCAGAGGTTCTGTTCCCTCTCTCCTGGCCTTTATTCCCTGAGGATCTGTTCCCTCTTTCCCAGCCTTTATTCCCAGGGATCTGGCCCCAGAGGTGCTGTTCCCTCTCTCCCAGCCTTTATTCCCAGGGATCTGGCCCCAGAGGTGCTGTTCCCTCTCTCCTGGCCTTTATTCCCTGGGATTTGGCCCCGGAGGTGCAGCTGCTCTTCCCTTCTCCGAGCTGTGTCCCAGGAATGTGGAGAAACGGGGGATCTGAGGAGCTGGAGCTCAGGTTGGGCCGTGCTGGAGTCAGGCTTGGATTCAATATCCAGGCAGATCCAGGCACAGGGAGGGATCCCTGGGGGCCAGGAACTGGACTCAGTGCTCCTTGTGGGTCCCTTCCAGCCCGGGATATTCCATGATTCCATAAAAACCAGGGGCAGGAGTCCTCTCAGGAGGACTCCGAGTGACTCCCTCCAGCTCGGCGCCACAATCCTGCAGCCCGGGCACAGGTTTCCTACCCGGAAAACCGGGAACTGATCCCAAAAAAATGACTGTCAGGAATCCTGGAGAGAAAACTGGAGGAATTTTGGCCAACTCAGCTCTTCAGAAATGTCTTTTTACCTCTGCCAACCCCAGCAGCAGAAGGACATTTTCCTCCCGGGAGTTTGGTTCTTCTAACGAGTTTCATTCCCTTTTCCTGCCGTTTGCCCTTTCCCGGGGGATGTCTGGGAAGTCTTTTCCACCCCCTGGCTTTGGGTTTGCTGGGAATAAAGGCCCTGTTGAAGGTTTTCCTCCCCTCAGCAGCTCTGGAGGTGACTCTGGAGCACGATCATTCCTCTGGGACACAACTGGAGCCGTTTGATCCAGAGGGAAGCAGAGCCCCGGGACTGGAAGTCCTGTTTTTGGGCTCTCTCCTGCTCAGAGAACCCAAATATTTCTCCCCTCCAGAGCACCCCGAGCTGATGGAAGTGTCCCACGCTGCTGGAATGATGGAATCCTGGAATCCCCGAGCTGGAAGGGACCCGGAGGGGGATGGGAAGGCCTCTCCTTTCCTCCTCTCAGGTGGTTGCAGGTCCCTTCCAGTTGAACGGTTCTTCTTTTTCCTCATCCCCTTCTCTTCCCCCTTCCCTCTTCTCTTCCTCCTTCCCCCTTTCCTCTTCCCTCTTTTCCTTTCTCTTCTCTTTCTGCCTCCTACCCCCATTTCTTTCCCCTTCCTCTTTTCTTTCCCCTTCCCTTTCCCTTTCCTCTTCCATCCTTTTATCCCCTTCTCCCTTGTCTTCCCCTTCCCGCTCTTCTTTCCTCCTTCCTCCTTTTCTTTCTGCTTCCCCTTTTTCTTCCCCCTCCCCTTTTTCTTTCCCCTTCCCCCCATCTTTCCTCTTCCACCATTTCCCCTTCCATCCTTTTTTCCTCTTTCCTTTTCTTTTCCCCTTCCCCCTTGTCTTTCCCCTTCCAACCTTTTCCCCTTCCCCTTCCTCTTCCCTTTTTCTTTCCCTCTCTCCCTTTTCCCCCTTCTCCCTCATCTTTCCTCTTCCACCATTTTTTCCTCTCCTCCCCGTTTTCCCCCTTACCCCTTGTCCTTCCCTTTTGACCTTTTCTTTTCCCCTTTCCTCTTTTCTTTTCCTTTTCCCCTTTTCCTTTTTCCTTTTTCCTTTTCCTTTTCTTTTCCTTTTCCTTTTTCCTTTTCCCTTTTCTTTTCCTTTTCCTTTTTCCTTTTCCCTTTTCTTTTTCTTTTCCTTTTCCTTTTTCCTTTTCCCTTTTCTTTTTCTTTTCCTTTTCCTTTTTCCTTTTCTCTTTTTCTTTTTCTTTTCCTTTTCCTTTTTCCTTTTCTCTTTTTCTTTTTCTTTTTCTTTTCCTTTTCCTTTTTCCTTTTCCCTTTTCTTTTCCTTTTCCTTTTTCCTTTTCCCTTTTCTTTTCCTTTTTCCTTTTCCCTTTTCTTTTTCTTTTCCTTTTCCCTTTTCTTTTCCTTTTCCTTTTCCCTTTTCTTTTTCTTTTCCTTTTCCCTTTCCTTTCCTTTCCTTTCCTTTCCTTTCCTTTCCTTTCCTTTCCTTTCCTTTCCTTTCCTTTCCTTTCCTTTCCTTTCCTTTCCTTTCCTCTTCCCTCCTCTCTCTTCTCCCTCCCTTCCCTCTCCAGCCATTCCCGACGGGAATCTCCCTCCCCACAAACGAGCCCCTGCAGGAAGATCAATGCCCGAGTCCCGGCGGGGTGGGACAGCATTCCTAGAAAACCTTTCCCTTGGAAAAGCCTCCTCGGGGCCCCGCTGCCCGGCGGAGGCTGTGCGGGAGCGGAGCCGGTCCCGCAGAACAGGTCGGGATGGATTTGGGATCGTGGGCAGAGCTCGGCTCAGCTCCTGCCCCGAGCTCAGCCTTGCTCAGGGCAGGAGCTCGGGCCGGGGCTAATTAGCGGGCAGCAATTAAGTGGAGCTGATCCCCGGCTTGATTAGTGGTTAGTGGGGCTGGCTCAGCGCTCGGCACTAATTAAAGGAGGCCCGGACTAATTAAAGGAGACACGAGTCAGCAGGATCAGCCCCGAGCCTCTCCCAGCTCTGACCTCGTGGGCCCGGCTTTGATCTGGGGATGCAAAACTCAGGGCAGGCCTTGGAGCCGAGACTGGGGGTGTTTGAGCCCAGCCTGGGGGTTTGAGTCCAGCCTGGGGGGGTTTGAGCCCAGCCTGGGGAGGTTTGTCTCCGGTTTGGAGATGTTTGTGCGCAGTTTGGGGGTGTTTGTGCCCAGTTTGGGGGTGTTTGTGCCCAGCTTGGAGGGGTTTGTGCCCAGCTTGGAGGGGTTTGTGCCCAGCTTGGAGCTGTTTGTGCCCAGTTTGGAAATATTTGTGCCCAGCTTAGGGGTGTTTGTGCCCAG